TGTAAAAGGTGTCACTTGATTGTATTCACCAACCTTCTGTTCACAGTATAACTTGTGAAAACAGAATGGAAATGGTTTACTGAATCTGTGAAGAAAGATAATACAGTTTGAGATACATAGAAAAGTACAGACAAATAAGTCTGTAATAACCCAGTGATCATCCGAATTAATAAATAACTACTAATTTATTATTTAAAATATTGAAAGTATTTATTTTATTTCTACCGATTTGACAGCTATATAAAAATGGGGCCAATGCATTGGCTCAACTGGCTAACCCTCCACCTCCAAGTGCCGACATCTCCTTGGCATGTGCCATACCAGATTCAGATCTGAAAAGCGCTTTGGCCACTGTTGAATTTGTAACTTTATGGAAAAATAGTGCAATCCCTTTGGATTCAGAATGTGGGTTTGAAGGAGAACATTAAGACAATAAGCTCCTATGCCCCGATTTTAAAATGGAACTACGTGCTGTGGTCAGTAAAGGGTCCTGGAAAAATCAAGCTTTTGTACAGCTAATGGAAAACTGAACTTTCCACTTTGAAGAGAAATTGCTGGATCTTTCTTTACTTCTGGAAAAGATTACATCATACGACTGTATTACCTGACACATTCCTTGCATAGTTTTACATGTTAGTAATGACATTGGTTTAAGTTTGGGCAAGTGAACAAAAGAAGATTGGTTAAAAAGACTTTTGATATGAAACATGTTTTTCTCTAGTCGATGGGTGGCTTTTTAGAACAAGTGATTTTCTTTTGTCAATATCATTTTCAGGAAATAAATCCTGCTTTGTAACACATAGAAATTATTGATACATTTCTTTAAATCAAACAAAAATAACCAGCTAACAGGACAACACATTCGATCAAGATTCGAAATTTTGAGACTTTGATTTTGAAGCAGGCATTTATTGACTGATATAATTAAATGATTCCATTCTTCTTCCTGCTCATTTTGTATAAATAATACTGGCCTACTTTCATGATTAGCGGGGTACATACAGCAACGTACAGACAATAAAAAACGTAGCCATCTAATTGTTTCAGCTCTTTGGCAAACACTGACTTTATCTACCTAATGTCCTAAATGTATTTTTATTTTGTCATTCTTAATCTGTCTGGTTTTTCAATCTAGCCATGAGAAACAACTTTGTGCGGTGAATAACTTTTCTGTCTAAGCAGGTGAACGTATTTCTCCAGTGAAAAGGAAAGCGTGTCGCAGTTGGTTCTCAAATAGTCCTTCCATAGTGAATATTGCTGTGACTCATGTGGGTTAGCTTCCAAGGGCATGAACAGCTCCTCTCACCTAAGGGAGCAGGTTTAGGAGGAAATGCCATTCTTCCAGAGGAAAAGGTCAGTGGAACTGCCGTTACCGTAATACAGGCAACCTGTGGCTGACCTGGAATCTTGCGAGGTCTAAAGTGCGTCACCCAACGTGTGTTTAATGCCTTAAAAACAACCTACACGCCCTTAGCACCTCAATATTACTGTCAGTCTTGTGTCTATCTTGTAATACACATGGAAATAAGAAAATAATGCTAGAAAGTAATTGTCGACTCATTCGTATATTTGTGTATGTTCATTTCAGTAGGGTGACATGACTGAAATAAGGTTTTAGAAAGGAAATGAATAGTCTGGCATGGTAGCCTAGCAACTAAAGTCCTCACCTAGCATGCGCTGGGATCCCATATCGGCACCAGTTCTATTCCTGGCAACCCTGTTTCCCATCTAGCTCCCTGTTTGTGACTAGGGAAAGCACTGGAGGATGGCCCAAAGCTTGGGACTGTGCACCCCTGAGGGAGACCCAGAAGAAGCTTCTGGCTCCTAGCTTTGGATCAGGGAGTGAATCATGGGAAGGAAGATCTTCCTCTTTGTCTTCCAATAAAAACAAATTTAAAAAAAAATAGAAAGGAAATGAAATCTAAGGCAATTTAAGGGGCAGGTTAGATGTAGGTTATTTAACTTCATGGTGTTGTAAATTTTTAAACTTTATTCCTGTTGTTGATTTTGTTGTAGATTTTTCATTTAAGGCAATGCATAGTAACCGTGTAATAGAGACTATCATATCCAGATATGAAGATACGAGGCAGTATGCATCTCTACTTCCAGATCACAGATGGACTCCCAAGGAAACTGTTAACTATATCTTGACAATGCTGGACTGTCTGTCATTGTCTGTACCCACAAGGTCAGGATACATTCAGGTAGCAGACTGCTGGACTTATGACTGCTTATGAAGGACTGTACTAATGTTAAAATATGGGGGAAATCAGTGGGAAGGAGGGAGTATGGGGAGGGGCTAGGGGAAAACCCAGAGCCAATCACAGAGAATTGTATCATTTTAAAAACAAGTTGCAGTAATCCAGAGAAGGGGGCAGGTGTGGCACTGAGTCTGCTCCTGTGAGTAGACAAAGCGCACTAGGTCCTGGAGACGGAAGTATTTTTTTCCTGCTGTTTAGTAGCTGTAACGTGTATAAGTGACGCTGACCTTTGCAAATCTGTTTGTTTACAATCCTTGTCTACACTCTGGAGAAACAGTGGTTTTTCTACTTACTGATTGTTGAATTGTTTATTTATTGGAGAGATAAACTTCTGATTATAAGTTAAAAATATTTCATTGTAAAAATTAGAAGAAAAATAAGAACGCAAGGAGGAGGAATATTGGGAGTAAAAAAGGAAATATAATAATGCTAGTGGGTTGGGGGGCTAGACTATTACTTGATGAGCGTAACTTCAAGCTGGGGGGAATTCAGGCTAGAAGATTCTGAACCACAAAAATGACTATTCATCGTTTTATGGTCTCATTGAATAGAAGGGATGTAAATGTAGGGATTTTATTTCAAGTGGCACAATAATAGCAGTCTCTTACAGAATCAGTACAAGCATTTTATAGTCAATTCTATTTATATCGCTTGAAGGAGACAACTGGCAAATGGATTTGAACACTAATTGGCATTGCCATATCAGTTTTTCTTACATAAACTCATTCTCCATAGAGTTTTCCATGTTTTGATAAAGGATACCAATTGTCTCTAGATCGGTTACAGTTTTGCCTGCATTGAAAGAGAGCATTTCATTATAACTCCCCAAGCTCTTTAAGCCATGGTGTTAGAGCTGGTGAGGCCGTGAGGGGCAATTTAAAAAATCTATATAATGGCCTGCACCTTTGAGAGGTTTAGCCAATTGATATTTCTCTGAAGGATTTCTATTTGAAAGGATTGTGTCAATTCATAGTGTTTTTAGATTTTCATGAACGTCTTACTAGCTGTCTCTTCCATGTCACTTTCCCCTTATCGGTAGGACACACTAATCTTACAGGAAAGAGTTTTGATTCCAACGTGAGACCAAGTCTCTCACATCTAACTTTGCTGCATATAAATTAATATGGTTTGTGAATCAAGCCTTCTTACCGTTTCTTTTTTTAAAGATTCATTTGTTTTTATTGCAAAGTCAGATATATAGAGAAAGGAGGAGAGACAGAAATATGTTCCATCTGATGATTCACTCCCCAAGTGAGTGCAACGGCTGGTGCTGCGCTGATCCAATTCCAGGAGCCAGGAGCTCTTCTGGGTCTCCCACGCAGGTGCAGGGTCATAAGGCTTTGGGCCGTCCTCCACTGCTTTCCCAGGCCACAAGCAGGGAGCTGTATGGGAAGTGGGGCTGTCAGGATACAAGCTGGTACCCATCTGGGATCCCAGCATGTTCAAGGTGAGGACTATAGCCGCTAGGCCACAGCACTGGGCCCCTTTTTAACCTTTTCTATACAGAACATGAAATGTAGAATATACCTACCATGGTTTTATTTTACTTGTGATTGTCATGCATTTTTGTTTGTTTTTGTTTTGATGAGTATAATTATACCGGAATTTCTGGCTTCTGACTTTAGCCTGGCCTGGCCTACTTGTTATTGTCGTGTGTATTTGGGGAGAGAACCCACAGGTGGAAGATATCTGTCTCTCTCTCTCTCTCTCTGTCACTGTGCCCTTTAAATAAATATTTCTTAAAAATATATGGTACTGAGTTAGCTTGTTTTAAAAGGAAACTACACATGTTTTTCAGAATTGGTTGCACCATAATAAATATGTGACCTATTTTTATATCTTGGTCTCCCATGTGGAGGCCAGGAACCCGGCACTCGGCCCCGTTCCCCTGCTTTCCCCAGTCCACTAGCAGGGATCTGGGCCAGAGATTAAAAACAGTAAGAGTGTCTGGCTGTTTAAAGATCAGTTTACTTACATGAAAGGTAGAGTTACACACCCACACACACACCCACTGGTTCACTCCCCAAATAGTTCCAACAACCAGAGCTGGATCAGGCTGACGCTGAAACCTTAACTTTTGCACTCTAAGACCATGTCCATGTCACAGGCAGCGACTCAACCCACAGTTTCTTAATACCAGCTCTCCAAAATATCTGCTGATTCCACTTTTAGTGGTGCCCTCATGTCACAGTAAGATACCTAACCCAACTTACTTGGATGCCATATCTAACTCATTAAAGAGAACAGCCATTGCGTCTCTTGGGAACTACCGTTATATAAATCTCAATATGATTCATTTATGAATTTTCAGATCATCTCTCTTGACAAGTGGTAGCCTTCCCATGCTCCTGTAGGCAGAAGTTTCTCATTGTGTGTGGCTCAAGAAACGTACCTTGCCATTTCCATCTCATGTGTTTGTCTAGATTTCAGACAGATTCCTTCCAGAAGAGTGGGATGCCTGCTTCATCGAATGTAACAAAGTAATGTGCAATATTTAGGACAATGTCCCATGGATCTGGTGTAATTAATGATGAAATAGTCTTCTCTTTGTCAAAATTTTCTATTAAAAATATTGTTTTGGCTACTGGCAAATGCTAGCACTTTTCCTTTGTTTGTATCCAGGAAAGACTTGTGGTGGCTGTGGATTCTCAAAGCAACCTTGCCTGCTCTACCAATGAAACAGTCTATTCCTGTTTGCTACTCCTAAATACTCACTGGGGTTTGCTCTCTCCTCCCCAGCCAGCAGTCTGCAGAGGACCTGGCCCGAGTACCTGCTAACTCCACAAGCAATATCTTGAACCGGCTGCTGGTCAGTTATGACCCCAGGATCAGACCAAATTTCAAAGGTTTGTTACCCTCTTCCAAGACTCTTCCTTTTTTAACTTATAGTGAAGCATTAAATTTTTCTTTGTGATATTCAAGACAATCAGATTTCAGTTGGCTGTTTTATAATGTTCTGGGCTACCCTCAAGATAATTTGATACAGTAATATTTGAAGAAAAATATAAATTTGAATAGTTTCATAGATTACCAGGTATTTCAAAAAAAAGCACAGAAATGCTTTGCTGTGAGTTAACAAGCACACTTCTATGATAGATTTTCTAAGTAGTGAGTACACTAAACCTTAAGGTTTTAAAATGTATAGGCTGTAGATACAAATCTAACTTTCATTCAGAGGCCAACATTATAATTTATCGATCAGCTGCTTACTCACTTAAAGAAAGTGAACAGATATTTGTATTAAAAGTGCACATTGATGAAAAAAAAATTGCCTCTAGTTTTCCAAAAGATGCTGACTGTACGTATTAGAAAATAAAATAGCTTAGTGAAAAAAGTGACTGTATGTTCCACAAAGCAGGTTCCTTTTATTCTGACAAATATTTCCATTTTTTTTTACAGCTTTGAAGAGCTGAAGTTTTGTTAAGTAAAAAGTCCAGCAAATTACACAGTTGTATGAATTTTTTGTTTTGTTTTCTTGATGAATTAGGAGAGGATATATGAAAGACCTCTGGAACACTATAATCCTGCTGGATAGGGAAGGCATTAAAGTAGATCAGATTAACATGATCAGGTTTGAGATTTTTTTTTTCTCCCCTCTTACAGAAAATAAAAGATCCACAGCTGCTTCTAGTCAACTGGAGTTGTACAGCTATGTTGTAAAAACAGGAGTTTTGCTCATTACTAAAACCTATTCAGTTACTTTCAGCAAGAGCCATGGGCTGTCACATGCCTACCGTGGACTGGTTCAGCACCTGGTTTTCATCAGTCAGTGGTTATGTGGCTAAAAGGCTGAAGTCACATTTTCGCTTTGATGACCCAACCAGCAGCCACAGTGAACTCAAAAGAAAGAAAGAAATTTGCAACTTTATACTTTTAGTTCCCACTCCATGAACTTTCAAATTATTTTCCAACAGGTCAGGCTAAAATTCTTATAATGACTCTATCACAAAAACTTCTAATTTCATTTTTTTTTTGCATTTTTATAAATTTAAATTTAAAATGGAGTAAATGAAAGTAAAATTGATTGAGCACCATTTGGCCAGGTTAAGAATTTGAAGAGCTTAGAAACAAATGCAAAAGGAGGACTAAATCCCATTTTAAGATAATTTTCTTACTGTATAGCTTAAGTAACTGTGCTTGGTCAATTTATAAATGATCCAACGGTAAACGTATTTTGCACAGTGTCTTCAACTTAAAAGATAAGTATTTCTAAATAAAAATCACAGATATGGTCAAACTCAAGTTTACTTACTTTTTGATTCTTGTATGGAAGAATTAGTAAGACTACTGAGGCTGTAGATTTTGTCTCGCTATTGGATTGGAAAGCATGAAGCAGTCTACCACCATACCACTTTGAAATCACTCAATGTCAGCTGGAAAATGTAAAATAAAATAAGCAAATACACTGTGAAATATGAAGAATCTGATCAAAATTTTTTATTTTGCAAGCATTCCATTTATCATTAATTTTTATTTGTAGGCATTCCTGTTGATGTCGTGGTCAACATTTTTATCAACAGTTTTGGATCTATTCAAGAGACAACAATGGTAAATAGATCAGCATTAACTTGATATTCTCAGTGGTCAGAAGTTTCACCTAGGACAGTGAAATTAGCATTGAAACTGAAAACATAAGGGGAATTAGGAAGAATGCATGCCCTGCTATAATGCAAAATGCCAGTTTCCTAAGATTTATTGAATCAATGATTTTGCTGTTATGTCATTTTGTTCTTATATTTGTGCTTGTTCCAACTGGTTGCCATTGCCTGTACTGGGAGAGTGAATTGGTGAGAGCTGTGCTTGTGTATCTATTCTCTCTCTCCCTCTCAAATAAAAATAAAAACTACCCTTAATGTAAAGGGCTTAGAAGAATTATATATTCTTCATGAAAAACAGCTTAGATGCCACTCTAGGGAAAGGTTTGCACAATGCAAGCTTTCGAGGCACAGTTGTCGCCGTTGCTGGTGGCCTAGTGTACTTCAACGCGTGACCATTCAGAAATGTTCCTATGTTCTCAGTGTTCCCCTTCTCTTGTTTACTTGGAACGGTCGTTACGCTCTCTGTCTTGCTTATTTTGTTCTGTGTGGAGCAGGGAGTTGTACAAAGAGAGAAACGGATGTTTGCAAAAGAGGTCCCTGAAAAGACAGTGTCCAATCGGGAAGAGCAGGAGGACAGGCTAAGGCTGGGAAGGAGGCCCGCTCACATCTAAAGGAAAGCTACCAGGACTTCCTGCTGCCTGTGACGAGTCAAGCTTTAGTGACAAAGGCGTACAAATGTATTAGTACATTTCCAGAACCGTGTACAGTCTAATTGCTGCCTGATCCACTTTGAAGACATTTAGTAAATCTATTTGCTTTTCAAGCTTTTAGACTATGAGCCACTTCAACAAAACAGGAGAGCACGTTCATGGATAAAGGGAATTGAATACTGAAGTTCATTTGATTCCCAAAAGTTTGCAGTCTCTGAATAGTTTTTCATATTAAGCACTTTTTCATGAGCTTTGTGAGGTGCCCTCACTTTAGATTTAGATGCGTGCACTACTTCTTTTTCTTTTTTTAAGATTGAGTTAGTTGTATTGAAAGGCATACTTTCAGAGAAGAGAAACAGAAAGATCTTCCATCTGCTGGTTCACTCACCAAATAGCGGCAAAGGCTGGAGTTGAGCTGGTCTGAAGCCAGGAGCCTGAGCCTTCTGACCTTCTCCTGTGCTAGCTGTGGGACATCCTGACAAGAGTGGAGAAAAAGTACAAATTTAAAACCACCAGATTTTGCCTGACCTAGTGTCTACTCAGTAATGGGGAGGGGGTCCTTTAGTGGTCATGCATTTGTAAACTAATGCATAAGTCTATGCTAGACTTTCATAGTGAAAAAAATGCTGAAGGACTGAAATATTAAATTTATATATATATAGTTAGTCCTGCAATGCATTTGTTTGATAACCAAGAGCCAAGTAGCAAGCTCAGCAGGGTTCTGCTAATAAAAGAAGTGACAGTCTGAAAGCTTTTCCTGCCAGTCTGGACCCTTGCACTTCCACTGGCAGCTACTTATTCAAGGAAAGGCAATACAGAACAGAGACAAGGAATGGATAAAACAGTAATAGCGCCAAGCCTGGTGGCAGACAGACATGTGACAATTTCTACAGGAAGGGGTTAACCCATTCCTCTAACACCCAAAGTTGTTATCAGACATAGCAAACATGCAAGGTACTTTCCCAATTATATCTGAGAAAAAAAAAATCTTCCTTGTTTACTTTTGTTTTTTTTTTTCCTTTGAATGCTAAATAGTACTGGCTACACTAAAAGTAATCTTGCATAATTGACTATGCTTAATTGGGTAGTATGAAAAAATATGGCCGTATTAATATTCCTTATGTTCTCCCACATCCTGTGGTCATGCGATACTGCAGCCTTCGAGTTCCCATTTTTTCTTCTTGGTGCACTCATTCATAAGCTTCCACCTCTGTAAAATATCATTAAAGATACTGTTAGGAATAGTCATCAACGTTAACAGCAGCATGCCTAACACTGCCAAAGAAATGTTGCTTTGCATTTGAACTTGCTAGAAAAGTCACTTCTCAGTTTATCAGTTTATATGCAAGAGTTAGGGACAGCTGAGAAGCAGATAATCAAAATGGTGAGGGCTATTTGGTAGAGGCTAGGTAACATCTGCTCTACACTCTGACCTACAGGATTTGTTGTTTTTTTTTTTTTCCCCATTCAATTTCTACCTTAGGCTTAAATCAGTAGGGTTTTCATAATTGAAAATGGGAACCATTGTACTCATACGGGAACATTGGGTATTATGGTTTATAGAAATAATCCATATACAGGCACTTGGTCTCTAGAAATACGTAAGAGTTCTTTCATGTACATAAAAGCCTGATTGTACAATCCATTTTTTCTCTTTAGTTTAGGCATGCTTTGTAATTATCTTGGGTTATTATTGTGCTACGATTCATGATCCTGTCAGACTTTCTCTGACTTTCTGCTGCATGATGTTTTGTTTTAATAATAGACTTCGTCTCCTTTTGGGCAACACAGCTGTGCCTGTCAAGAAGAAAAGGAAAATATATTTTGGATCAGCTAAAAGACCTTAATTCTAGTCCTTGACAATTGTCCTTTGTTGTTTCAAAACAGATTTATGTTTTCTTCTGTAAATAGATTTCAAATCCTTTCCTTAAGGTTAGTTAGCTGGTTGCTGATTATTTGTTGCTTTGGAAATGAATGTTCCGGCATGAGTTTCATTTAGTATGTTGTAATATTATACATACCTGTCCCAGCTGTTTCTACTCGACAATCTTAGACAATGTTGTTACACATCGTAGATGTGAAATGATTTTGTATTCAATGTTTTAACGTTATTCATCGTCAGGCTTTGCATCCTGTGGCAGACATGCCTCTAGAACTTTTCTCTGTTCTAGTCTGCAGAATCTACGGCCATGTTCCAGATGACAGGAGTGATTAAATGAACCACCCCGTGCTGGGAGTATTACCCCATTTTATCCAGGTGGATTTGTTATAATCACAGGGTCTCTGTAGTAGAGACATTTCAAGTCCAGTGAGATTGACTTTAATCTTCTGAATCACTAGTTGCAAGATTAGAGATTTCTAGGGTTTTTTTCACTTTTAAAATTTATTTATTTTGAAGATTTATTTATGTGAAAGGCAGAGTGGCAGACAGAGGCAGAGGGAAGAGAGAGGGAAAGAGAAGAAGAAGAGAAGGGATTGAGAGCTTCCTAAGAGTGGATGATCCACAGGCCGCAAATGGCCATCACAGCTGGGGTTGTCCAGCCTGAAGCTAGGAACCAGACACTGTGTCCGGGTCTGTCCTGTGAGGCTACCATAGCGGGCCCCTGTTACAGATTCTTAAGTGTAGTTCTGCCTGATGCTGTGAGAACTGATCTGCTTTTTTCCCTGAGTGTAAAATTTTATCACAATGTAAAGAAAAATGGGTTAAATATTGCATATGTGACAGTTTTTAAAAAGTGACAACAAGAGTTATCATAACAATGTTGTGAAACAGAACAGTTGTTACTAAAATACAATTAGTGAAACTTAACTGGTTATAATATTTTGTTGGGAAATGTCTTATTGGCTAGAGATGGTTTAATTTTGGTATTACTTTGTTCTGAAATTTTGAGGGAACATCCGATTCCCAGAGAATGACCCTGTGCTCTTTGTAATGTACAATGACTAGTATTTTTGTCACCAAATACTTTAAAAGCAGATAAGTAATTTACCACTAGCAAAAGAAGTCTATTTCTGATGGAAACTTGTTCATTGCCAAACGAATGGTAAATCTGTAATTACTGAGATTGAATAATTAAAAGTGAAAAATAGGCTTTGAAGGTAGTTGTCGTAATACAGAACATTTTAAAAGCCAATAATTAGACAATTATTTGGAACCTGTCATAAATGATCAACCAAAGCATGCCAGCTAATGAGATTGCATCCTTTAATGAGTGCTTAACACCGGTTATTCATTTAGATTGTAAAATCTGAAGGCATATTTAAGTATGTATAAGTTTATTACAACTTGCCTTGAATCCCAGGTATGTAGCTGCGTGCCTGACGCAAAGGCCTCGTTGAAGCCCCAAAAGAGTGAGCAAGAAACTCCAAGGATCATGCGTTGAATGAGACAATTTCCAGTTTTGTGGGGGAATCCTTGAAAGGTGATCCTGACAGAGTTCGAAACCCTGTTATGGGACCAAAAATCCCTTACTTCCCAAACCAGAAAATGATAAAACAAATAAAGAGAATTATGGACCAACAACACATCAGAAAGCTCATTCAATCATATCAGGTGGTATTACGCCTGGCATAGGAGTTCAACTTATGCAACTCAATAAATGTGATATACTATTTTAACAAGCTGAAGATTCAATAGGAGCTCAACTGCAGGAATACCTACGATATTCCTCTCAGATCTGGAAAAAAGTTGCTAAAATGTATAAGGAAACACAGAGACCCAGATTAACTAAAACAGTTTTAAATAACCAAAACAAAGCTGGATTTGAACCACAACACCGGATTTCAATACAGGGTGATTGTAATCAAGATCGTCTGGTCTTGGCACAAAAACAGACCCGAGGATCAGTGAAGCAGAATAGAAACCCAAGAAATGAACCCGCACATCCATGGCTAACTATTTTTTGACAGGTGCACTGAAATACCTTCCTGGAACAAGGACCGTCTCTTCAACAAACGGTGTTGGGAAAATTGCATCTACATGTACAGAAGTATGAAAAAAGACACCCTATCTTACATCTTCTACAAAAGTTGACTCTGAAGGAACCAGGCATTTAAATCTATGACCTGATATCATGAAATTAAGAGGAGCCAACACTGAAGACTTATTGGAAAAGACCCCCAAAGCAGAGGTAATTCAAACAAAAACAGGCAAATGGGATTGTATTGAGCCTAAAAAAGTCTGAACCACCAAGAAAACCATGCAACAAAGTAAGGAATGGGAAAAAGCATTTTCAAACTATGCAACAGATAGAAGTTGAATATCCAGATCAATAAGGAGCTCAAGAGGCGCAAACACAACAAAACATCCAGTGAAGAAACAGGCATTTTTCAAATGAAGAAATTAAAATATCCAACAGACATTTGAAAAAAAAAAAAGTGCTGTTTCACTAGCCGTCAGAGAAATGCACATGAAACTGACGGATTTCAGTTCACCCCGGTGAGAATGGCACAGCATATCCACTGTCGGCAGGAACGTAAACTAGTGCAGTCATCATAAGACAGCATGCAGATAACTCACGAATTTGAAAACAGGTCTATGAATGACTCAGACATCCCTCTCCTGGGAATCCATCTACAGCAAGTAAAATCGGGGTGGGGGGAATCCCCAGCGCCTATAAAACTGTACCATATAATACAATGTAAACAACAATAAAAAAAAAAATAAAATAAAATCACCATGCCTGTAGCAACTCGATTCACCCTGAGACGGAATCCACCCAGTTGCAACACACCGGATGACCCAATAAAGAAAATATGGTGTATATCCGTATACAATGATATACTATTCGGCCATAAAAAGAATAAAACCAGCTTCTGAAGCAAAATGTTAGATTCGCCAACCACCAGGGGAAAAAAAAAATAACTCAGCCGAATATAGAAAAAAAAGTTAGATGGCCTTTATTTCAGGGAGCCACAGTCAGGGGCTTACCTTCTCTGTGCAGCAGACAGGCAGGCGTGAAGGAAGGGGCTGCAGAGGAAGAAGAGTGTGGAAGAAGCGGGGAAGGGCCTTTTTAAAGGAGGAAGTTAGGGGAAGAGGAAGCAGCCTCAGAACGGCTGCACCTGTGACTAATTTCACCACCTGTTCCAGGTTTGGCTGGAAGCAAACTCTGCCTTCCTCCGACCTCCTGTGGCAGCCAACACAAAACTGATAGAACAGGAGACCAACATGCTTACTGCAGAGAGCCAGTCCCCAAGACAAGCACCATATACCATATGATTTCACTGATCTGTCATAGCTCACACCCAGTCCGAAGAATATAGCCTGTTTAAGAGAGACTGACATCGGGGGATCGTCTTGTTTGTGGCCATTGTACACACTCGTAAGGAACAGTTTTCCTGCTTTCTGCTTGCTATGGGTTGATAGCTCTGATAATGCGTTGGAATGTAATGTCTGTGGTTGCCAAGTGAAATGAAAATATTTCGTGGTAAAACTTAGAAAAATCAGAGAGAACTCTAGGAGGAGGGATGGTGAAGAAGGTGGGCAGGAGGGAGGGTCAAGTGGGAAGTGTTGCCAAGTCATGAATCTGCTCCACTTTGTATACATCCGTTCACTTTGTGTAAAGAAATTTAATTTTTTTTTAAAAGCTGAGGAGGGCGGCTATTAAAAGAGTGTGCTAAATATCCAAGATGAATGAAAACGTTATTGAGAATACGATTTCACCAAAATACCATTTCTCAAATCTTTGGATCATCAGCCGCGAGACTCACAGAGAACCAGCAGAATAAAACAGAACACTTAAAGCAAATGAGAAAGCCCCTGAAATTTTTTTAGAAAAAAAAAAAACCCTTTTGATAAGGAGGCATATGAAAAGCAGGACAGCCTTGGTTACATTGTGGCACGGTGGGTCAAGCCACCACTTAGGCTGTTGCATCTCATGCTGGAGCATTCGTGTATGTCCAGGTGCTCCACTCTGTTCAGGTGTCTGCTAATTCATGCTGGGGGAAGCTGGTGATGGCTCTTGCGCTTGAGCCACTGCTGTCTATGTGAGAGACTCAGACGGAGTTCTGAACTGGCTTCAGCCTGGTCGAGCCATGGATGTGTCAGGCGTTTGAGAACTGAACTACTGGTGGAAGATCAAACTATGTCTCTCTCTCTCTCTCTCTTTCTCTCTCTCTCTCTCCTGTGTGTGTGTGTCTGTGTGGGTGCACATTCTAATGTCCATGAGAGAAAGCCTGAGATTGCGCCTTTCAAGCAGATTTTATTTTAAAAGTAGCATTACATAAAGCTAAGGAGCAAGCAGAGGACAATCCTTATGGATAGGATTGGGATAAAAACACCCAGCCAGACGGCTTCTTCAGTCTCAGTGGAAACACGTGTGAAGTACAGATTCTGTGTGGAGGTCAGGGGCGCACAACATGGGGTTCTTGTTAGGATACATACTTTATGTTGTTAAAGAAATTTGAAATGCTGATAATAATGCATAATATGCTTTATTATGCATATTATTCTGCAAGGCAGATGGAATATCGCTAAGTGATATTTATAGCTTTGTGTTTAGCATCAGAAAAATCAAGAAAGGTTTCCTTTTGCTTCTTATTTCTTCTTAACTAAATGTAATTTTAATTTTGGGATAAGACTGACAGTAGCATCAAGTGTCTACCAGCATGCCTTTATATTGTTGTTTAAGCAAATGCATTAATGAGCAACTGTATACATGGGTAACTACCACTAATGAAGTTACACTCGGATGTTTGGCCCATCAAATGCTGTGAAATATCTCTAGAGAGTAAAAAGACACAAGAGGTTTTGTTGTCGTTAATATTACCGATGGTACCTTCATCTCCTGTTGTGTTCCTGATCGATGTTGGCAGAACAACATGTTTGTGTGGCTAATCGCTGGATCTGTCTTTGCGCTGCTGCTGGACGCGGTCTGAAAAGCAGCAGCGCACGCACACCTGTACGGCTGTGTTGTTTTCCAGGACTATCGAGTTAACATCTTCCTGAGACAGAAATGGAATGACCCCAGGCTGAAGCTGCCCAGCGACTTCAGGGGCTCGGATGCCCTGACCGTGGATCCCACGATGTACAAATGTTTGTGGAAACCTGACTTGTTTTTTGCAAATGAAAAAAGTGCCAATTTTCATGATGTAACCCAAGAAAACATCCTCCTTTTCATTTTTCGGGATGGAGACGTGCTCGTTAGCATGAGGTATGTCTGTGTTCAATATTTCGGTGCTTTGTTTCCTTGGCACACCACTGGGTAACCTCGAAACGTTCGAATTCTTCCTAAGATCTTTTTTGTTACTTCCAGGTTATCTATCACTCTCTCCTGCCCCTTGGACCTGACATTGTTCCCCATGGACACCCAGCGTTGCAAGATGCAACTGGAGAGCTGTATGTAAAGAGAATTCGCAGTGACTATGGGAATAACACGCTTGAAACGCCGCGTCTTCCCTAAGAGTGGCCAGGCTGATGCTTTTGATTATGCATTCTCTGAGGACTTTATTTAAGAACCATAGGGTTATTCCTTTACTATTAAGAAAGACAAACCCCTCTTGTACAAATCTGATCTTGTGCAGCTCTGTGTGTGTCTGTCTGTGTGGTTACTTCTTTATTAGAAGAGACTGAAAACATGAAAATCAAATGCATTGCATGATCTCTCTTTTTTTAAATGATTAATTATTTTTATGTCTGATGATTTTTACATAGTTGATTGGGATTTTTAAAAAGTTGGTTGAATAGAGAAGTTACAGATTTCTGCAACATTATCTTTGAAATGGATCTTTTTTGTAATATGTTTTCCATGAATTTTTGAAGGCTCCTGTACTTATTCAAAATTCCATCTGTGTGTTTGCATTTCAATTCTTCCACTGGGTGCATGAACACACTGCTTTAAATTGTGCAATGTGGATTCGGGGCCAGCACACTGCCTGCTTAGACCAGAGCCGTGCTGCCTAAGCCAAGCACCTGTTCTTTAGGGTTTCAAGTGAAGCTGTATTGATGCCTGTTTCAGAGCTGTTGTGTGGCATCTAGTCATGGTACAATGGCGATTGCTCCAGATACATAGTTGCCCTACTCATTACATCTCTTTAAATACTTTAAGTAATAATTTACAAACCATAGAAGTGTATATTCTGAGTGTTTAAATTGCTTGTGCACTTTTTGGATGAGCTACGAATTCTGGCACAAATGTGTAAGTCACTGTCCATGATGCCATGTTTAACTAATTTCAACATGGCTTAAGAGGTGTGTCTGCCGTGTTTTTATTAATGCACTTAAATGTTATCTCTTTATTTGTTAACTGCAATGAGAAGGCCCTAAATTCTTATTTTAGCTATGTTTAATATTCACAAATATCAGGAGATATTTGCTTATTTTTCTTTACAGTTGGTTACACAACTGATGATTTACGATTCATCTGGCAATCAGGGGATCCTGTTCAATTAGAAAAAATTGCCTTGCCACAATTTGATATTAAAAAGGAGGATATTGAATATGGAAACTGCACAAAGTACTATAAAGGCACTGGTAAGTTACATTCTTTTAAAGAATTGAAACTAAGTTCCATTGGAAATTCATTTCAGTGTTACTGGACATTACAGGGAGCTAGATGAAGAAAATAAATATAAGAAGTTTGTCTTAGCATTTGCATGTGATTGGCTCCATCAACTTTTATGAGAAGCAAGGCAGCAGGGCTGTTTTGCAAGCTGTCTGTAACTTGTGCTGATTGGAGGGCTGTGAGTGACGTCAGGGCAGCCCTAGAATGGTGTTTTGAAGCAGTGTGTGCGTGCTGCTCGGAAGGGGAACATGGAAGTCCTTCGCCTCAAGTGGAGAACATTCTGAGGCCTTGACAGCAGGGGTTAAAGTTGAGAGAATCAGAAAAACATTTATATACATAAATACATATATGTATATATATGCCAGAAGTGGTGATTTATTCCTTATGCTCGTATTAACATCCAATTCTTGACTGTTTAAGGTTTAGCTATATGCAGGCAGGCTGCCTCTTTTCTGTAAGAAATGGTGTGTGTGCGTGTAGGGAAAGTCGCCTTGCCAACGTTCAGGAGTGCTGCTTCGTAGGTCTGTCCTACTTTGCTGCTCCTTCTGGGATCCCTTCAGATCCTTTCTCTCTGTCTTTTCCGACTGCATCCGTGCGTATGGGAAAGTTGGACCCCATGGGCAGTTCTGTACCGAGACTTCAAAGCCCAACATGGCATAGTGGAGGAGCACGTGGGATTTATGTCCCAGTGTCACAATGTGTTGTGTGGCTTTCTTTCTGAAAGGCTACTACACGTGTGTGGAGGTCATCTTCACCCTGCGCAGACAGGTCGGCTTCTACATGATGGGGGTGTACGCCCCAACCTTGCTGATTGTGGTGCTCTCCTGGCTGTCTTTCTGGATCAACCCGGACGCAAGTGCTGCCAGGGTCCCTCTGGGTAAGGTGCTGCTTGCTTCTCTCTCACGGCAGGGACTCGTTAAATGTTCCCATCACTAACCAAACAGTCAGTTTCTTTGAAACAGTAAGTTTTGTAATCAATTTTATTTCATTTTTAGGTTTTCTTCAAAACTTGCGATCAAACTAGGGTTTTTTTTTTTTTATGTGTATGTGCTTAATAATCAAACTGGGTTTTCCCTTTTGCACTTTTGGGATGTTTTAAAGTTAATCGATTCTTTTTCTAGCTTAATGTAATGATCAATAGGTGATAGTCACAGATAGCTAAAATCATAAAGTTCCAAAGTTAAAAACAAATAGCTATTTCAGTGGACATCTTTCTGAACAGCATTGTGTAGTGTCCCATGCTCGTATGGAGCAGTGATCAAATGAATTTAAAAAAAAAAAAATCGTGGCACCTGTGTTGTGGTATAGTGAGTCAGGCTGCTGCGTGCCACGCTGGCATCCCATATGGCTGATGGTTCATGACTCAGCTGTTCCATGGACCATCCAGCTCCCTGTGAACGGCCTGAGAAAAGCAGCAGCAGATGGCCTGGGTGCGAGGCTGCCCGCCACTCACCTGGGGTTCCTGGGAGAAGCTCCTGACTCGACCCTGCCTTAACCAGTGCGTCTGTGTGGTGGCTGAACCAGGGCCGGAAGGATGTCGTTTTCCTCTCTCTCCCTCAGGCTTTCCCTACCTCCCTGTAACTGCCTTCCAGCAAATAATCTTTTTCAAAGAAAATTTTAAAATGTAAACAATGAAAGTGCCATTTTTCCTAAGCACAAAGCATTGCGTGCTGTGCCTTCTGCTGTCCTTAGAAGAGACAGGGCCAGCTGCCTTCCATGACAGGACTCGATGCTCAAGTCCTCTGATTGCGTGTCGTTATTTTATTTTTATTGGAAAGTCAGACATACAGAGAGGAAGAGAGACAAAGAGGAAGATCTTAGGCCCATTAAATCATTCCCCAAGCAGCCGAGACAGCCTGAACTGCGCCAATCAAAGCCAGGAACCTCTTCCAGGTCTCCCACGCAGGTGCAGGGTCCCAAGGCTTTGGGCCATCCTTGACTGCTTTCCCAGGCCACAAGCAGGGAGCTGGATGGGAAGTGGGGCCATTGGGGTTAGAACCGCCGCCTATATGAGATCCCAGTGTGTGCAAGGTGAGGACTTTTAGCCACTAGGCCACTGCACCGGGCCCAGAAACCAGTCTTTAGAAAACTGTATCTCAGTAAGGATTAGAAATTCTTTGCTCAAGAAGTAAGCAAGACTACTTCCTTTGATATTAGAAGAATGTTTATCTCTGTGTGTGTTTTCTGCAAGTGACCTGGGATTCACGTAGGCAAGTCTGTGCTTTTACTAGCTTCTTGCAGAGTGACGGATTGCTACATTCAGTTTTTTTTTTTCCTTCTTCTAAACAGGTCTTGTGCAGAAGTCTCCATCTTAAATTATGGAAGGAATGAAATAAAATACAGATTTTAAACAGAAAACTAGCAAGGAAGGAATGAAAATGATTTTCTGAGTGCAGAATTTGCTGTTTTATGGCTAACAAAAATCACAAAGACAAAATCTATAATCAAAAATGTGAAAAATTCCATAGTAATGGTGTATGTAAGAATAAAAACAAAATTACACACTGATTTCTTTGGGAAATGAAAATTAGCTGTGCATTGAATTAAGAAATATAACTAGACCTAAATTCATTTTTTGTTTATTTAAAGTATGATTGCATGATAATTAAGTTTGCATGTTATGTCTCCAAGGGTTTTTCAGGCACTTCTCACTCTGACATTCCCTTAAGGTGTTGTGGAATCCCAAAACCTTTGTCTTGCTCAACCCAGAGCCAGCCATTCAGTGACATCAAAGTGGTGGAAGAAGCCAGGTGTTCATGTTGCAATGCCCAGGGAGGCAGGGAGCTATGGCGCAATTCCCCAACTCCCTGGGGAATGAAGGGAGGTAGCATCAGAGCGGGGACAGAGCCGAGGGTAACAGCTCCTGTGCAGATCTCCGGGTAGTTCAAAGTGCTTGTGGCTCCTTTGTGATTGGTCCGGCACAGGAGGCCGGCATGGTCCCCTGACGAGGCCTTGAGGGCAAGGCTGCTGTGTTCTTCGTGGCTTCTGTGGGTGGGATGGGTGCTGCTCTGTGATCCAGGCTTGGAGTCCCCGTGAAACATCTCCTAATGGAGTCCAGTGCCGGAGTGGTCACTGCTGATACAACCAGGGACTTCTGAGACCGGTGGCTTAAAGCAGCATGGGGCCACCGTGAGAGCCTGGTAGCATTCTGTTAACTTAGCGACTTACCCTCTAGTAAGGGGTTGACTTTTTTATTATTATTGTTGTTTTTTGATACAATTTAGTTGGCAGCGGGCTCTCCCCTCCGCATCCCCCAGATTCCCTCCCCTCCACTCTGTCCTCCCCTCTAGGTTCATAATGTGTGTCCATCAGGAATTTCCCCAAGTCCATCATGCTTCCACGGCAGTGTCTCCCAGCCATGTAGAAGAATAACTTTTCGTTGTAGGTTAATTCTTGTATGCTGTGGCCCTCATGTAGGTACAGTGAGGATTAGGCCTTCGTTGTTTAAGGGTTGTACCAATAACAGTTATATGTGGACACTGACTATCTCAGGTGGTTATAAACAATCCACCTCTTGTGGATGGTTAGTTAATAAATTACATCACAAGTTCTTGTTACATTAGGTACAAGTAAGTATGAAGTAACACTGATCAACACAGAGTAAGATTCACATACGATATCTCTAGATTTGATATCATATTATATTATGTTAGAGCAAACATATGATGTCTGACCTGTGGTTCCTCCACGCTATGGAATACTACTCGGCGATCAAAAAAATGAAATGCACTACTTTGTGGCCAAATGGGCCAAACTAGAGACCATTATGCTAAGGGAAATGAGCCAATCCCAACAGGAGTTGACTTTGTAATCACGGAGGGAAGAGGGAGGCACTCCAAAATAAGAGAGACTTAATTTGATAAATTCTGCATGAATGTCATTAGGATACAGGTTTAGTTTCCCAATCGCCATTGACCATATGGCTTCTGTTAGAAGGGCGCTCAGCTGCACTTAGCATCCGTAAGTGGGCAGAAATGGTTCGTGGTTGAGAGTCGGTCTAGTGCCAAAGCTGGGCTTACCTTTCAGCTCTGTGCTTGCTGAAGATAACAATTTGGACATTGTATCTTACCTCTTTCAGCAGTTCTCCTGAAATATCCACAAAGAGGATGGCGGTGCTCAAAGGGCTCCCAGAAGAGTTGAGAAACAGGAATGCAAAACCCATGTCATATTTTGCAGTTATCACTATTGCAGCTGTTATGTTGCCGTTCTTATACACATTATATATACATATTGCTTAAAAGTTTGTAAAGCCTTTTCACATACATTATTTTGATTCATCCAGAAAATATTTATTACTCACTGACCTGTTGTGATAAACAGTCCAATAAGAGAGAGACATACTTAACAAAAATAGCTGATTAGTATTAAAATGTGCCTTTAAAGAGAACTGCAACACTGCCATGCATTGGAAGAAACAGCCCTTGAGTGAATATACTATGAAACATTAAGATCCTGATACAGGGATAACATAGTTGGGGAGGCACCTTGCTTGTTAGATAAGATCTCAAAGAGAGGTGATATTGGGTAATGAAATGATGGAGTGAAGAGTCCCAGGGCTCTAAAGAGTGAGGCCCTGGATAGTAATCTTCCAGGGCTGAGTCTTAAGAAAGACTCCTGCCCACAGGATAACAGGAGGGCAGGATGGCTGGAGGACATTGAGTTGAAAGAATAGTATAAGGTGTATCGGAAAGATAACAGTCATAAGGGTTGAATCATGTGACACCTGGGGGGGGGGGAGCTGATGATTCGGCTTTTGTTCAGAATGCAAGATGAAGATACCGAAAGCTTTGGAGCATGATCGGACTCTATTTTGCAAACAGACTTTACTGCCAACTTGATAAAGGAAGCTACGGACATGACGCAGAATGGATGCAAGGAGAGCAGTTATGAGGTTATTGCAATAACTTAGGCAACTAATCGTGGTGTGAGCCAGGGGTAGTTGTATAGGGGCCGGTAAACATTAGGTGGCAGTTGGTAGCAAAAGTAGAGAAAAAAAGGCATTTGTAATTTGTTTTTCTGTTGTTCAAACTATGAAGATGAAATTGACATTAAGTGAGAGGGGCACAGCTGCAGTTGAGGTAGATATGAGAATGTGGGGGAACCAGGAACTTTGAATTGAATTTTGAGATGTCTGTTAGGTAGAGAAATGGGATAGCTGGTTTTAAACTCTCAGAATAGGAGTAAAAGTTTAACATATTCCAGAATGTAGATGGCTGTGAAGACGGTAGGAGAGAAATCACAGGAATCACAGAAATCACATTGTATGTGGAGAATAAATAAACTTCTGGGAGAATCTGAGGTAATGAGTAACCACCGGAATGATGTGGCTTTGTAAGTCAGGATGGGAGTTCAGGAGTAATGATTGCCACTGGGTTAAACAAGCCGCGAGAGGCATTATGTGCTCGACAAGGACAGTTTCTTTGAAGTGAAATAAAGGGGAAAATTTTTTTGGAATGGTTTCAAGAGAGAAGAAAAGGCAAAAATACGAGAGCGATCCTGAGCCTCTCCCTGCTCATGATTAGTTGTTAAAAGAGAAAGCGTTGGAGAATAGGATGGGAAGAGGGCTTGAGAAGGTGTTTGGTTTTGTTTGTAGGGCAAATTATGACGTGTTTATTTTGACCGGAAAATGACTAGTCCTGAAGAAAATTGAGAATTTTATTCTTTTTAATGGTTGAGTAGTATCCCATGGAGTAGATGTTCCAGTTTCTTTTTCCGTTCTTTGGATGGGCATCTGGGTTGTTGCCATATCTTTGCCATCATGGATTGCGTTCCATAGTTTTTTTCCATTTTGTTCTTATATCGTTGTTCCTGGGTTCACATTCAGCATGTAAGTGAAGGCTGTCTGAAACAAGCCAGGAAATAACCACTAGCCCTCACGTAAACCGAGTGTATCTGTTATTTTTCTTGTCTTCTAGCATTGTGTGTGAATTGTTCGTGGTCCATTGAAAGTTACAGGGGAGGAATTTAGTTGAAGAGTGAGGATGGTAGAATGTCTTGAACTCCTCTTTTCTGCTCCTGTAGGTATCTTCTCAGTGCTCAGTTTGGCCTCTGAGTGCACGACGCTTGCCGCTGAACTCCCCAAAGTGTCCTACGTGAAAGCTCTTGATGTTTGGCTCATTGCGTGTCTCCTGTTTGGGTTTGCTTCCCTGGTGGAGTATGCTGTCGTCCAGGTGATGCTGAACAACCCCAAAAGAGTGGAAGCAGAAAAGGCAAGGATTGCTAAGGCAGAGCAAGCAGATGGAAAAGGTGGGAATGCCGCCAAAAAGAACACTGTGAATGGCGCTGGGACTCCCGTTCATATCAGCACGTTGCAGGTGAGAACGAAGTTACCCCAGGAAGTTCCCCCATCTTCTTTGCACCGAGAGAGAGACAATTCACTGTCTGAATAATCCTTAGAATTGCATTTAGCTGTTTTTCACGTCACAGATGAAAAGCAACCCAGCACAGCACTTTTTAAAGCAGAAACATTTAAAATGCATGGATCAAATGTTACTTAAGGAAAAAAATACCATACTAAAATGTATCGAGTACTTCTAGCTGGAGAGTTCAGGCCTTCATCTTCAAACAGGATCATTAATCTAACAGCGAGCAATGCTTCCAGTCATGGGTCAAGCTTGGTCGTTCACTTGCTCCCGAGAGTCTCTGATTGGTGTCCAGTGGCAGGGAGGAGTAGTCAATCAGAAGACTGTCCACTGAGCTAAGAATGATGCGTTGGTAAGAGATAGATTTACACCATCAGCTTTATTAAAATCACGGTAACTCCGTGTTAGGGAAAACCATATCCTTAAAGTTGATGCAGAGTATCGGTCTATAATAAGTGTTATAAGGCCTGGAGAAGCCTCCCACAACCTAAGGATTGGCAAAAGGTCTTTGTTTTCACCTTAGAATATGAGCACAATGGCCGATGACAAAACAGGTAGCATCATATAATCCCGGTTGACTGTTACTTGGCAGAAAAGCAGAAGCTTTTGCAGATGGATGAACCCACATTTCTCTAGTTTGGCTTTTTATTGCTGCACTTTTGGAGTCTGATTCAGTAGCTTTGCCCGTTGCTAATGTGTTTTCCATACATTTTCCTGGGATAGTCTCAGGCTCTCAGGAATAAGCACTTCAATCTTTAATCTGCTTTGTGTTGATTTTCGTTTGAACTAGGAGATGAGGAAGTGTGATCAAGCTTTATTCTTCTGTGTGTACATAACAGATTTCCCAACCTCATTTATTGAAAAAAAAATGTCTTTTTTCAGTTCATGCTCTTTGTAACTTTGCTAAAGATCTATTGAATATAGGTGTGTGACTGACTTCTGGGATTTCCATAGTGTTCCAGAAGTCTATGGTGTTGGGGTGTGTGTGTGTGTGTGTGTGTGTGTGTGTGTGTGTGTTTTAATGTCTGCAGTCAAATTTGTTACAGTTGATAAAACTTCACTGCCACATTGCTCAAACAGTCCTAAGAAACTTGACCTTTTAGAACCGTTTGCTATTGGGCATCATGGAAGAAAGATATGTGTGTGTGTGTTTTCTGAAATCAGATTTAAAGAATTTAGTTTTTGGTTTCTGCTTTGATTCTCTCTGTCACTATATGGAACAGTCCGTGTGTGTGTGATATTTTTTTGGCTAGACATTTTGCTAGACACACTGTACAAACTGATACAGACTAGAATCTGAAACTCACATTCATGCCATCCATATGATGGTGTAAGTTTTTAGGCTCAGCTGAATTCTCACATTTGGTGAAACGTAAGGGCACATTTAAAAAATCATGCAATGAAATTGAAAAAACATGCAATTATAAATCCAGTCATTGTGTGCTAGCTTTAGAAATATAATACCAATATGTGTACATATGTAGGGATAAATAGAAGTAAACTAAGTGTGTAATTGCAGAAAGGTATGCAATTGGATTTTCTTATTTTTTGTTTTATTTATATTTATTGACTTTTACACGTGCACTTTAAACGGGTGTTCCGTTCAGTGTGTCTTAGATATTTTTGCTCTGCATCTGTGAACATACCCTCCGACTCCAGCCCAAGAAATATCTAACATTGTTTGTTCAAATAGAAGAAAAATACTCCTGAGGAATAGTGTTCGTTGTAGCCTGCAGGTACACATGCATATGTAACTTAGCAATAACCTCGTCAATATTAGCAATCGACAGAGCTACTCGGTGCATCCACTATATTAAAAAAGCAAAAAAAGTACCTGGAGTGGTGATATACAGTAAAGAGGTTTTCCTTCACAGTTAAAGCTCACTTAAATGTGAAGATTCCAGGGCTGGATCGTAATACGGTGTTAAAACCCATGGAGGACTTAGACAATGTGTTCAAGAATTCACTTCTTTGACATCTTCCATAATATTAATGCTACCCCAGCACCCTGGGAGTTAGCCTACAATATAATCTTTGAAAGAGCTTGGCACAATAATTCAACGTGAACTAATTATTTTGCCTAGTAAAAGGAATTGACTCGAATTGAGTAATTCAGAAATTAACTGAACTATCTATGTAGGATGCAGACTTGCTGAAGTATAGATAATGTGTTTGTCTTCTCTGAGTGTGATTGGTTAATTCAGCATTAATCAAGAAGTTGGGAACACCTGTCACAAACAAACTTTTGATCAGCCTGAAAGTCTGATTCCTTGGCATAAAATCATCAACCAACAACTTCTTCATGATGAAGACTTCGTTAATTAAGCAATATTTTAGATCCATAAAAATGTAGGCGGTCTGATAATAAACAGGTGCTGTTTCTATGGGTATTTCATAATGTTTGCAAATAACGTCATGTTGGAGCTGTTTTTAAAATATCCTTGAGTTGTATGCTGAATTCCATTTAATTTTATTTTTTATCCTCAGGTTGGTGAGACCAGATGCAAAAAGGTTTGTACTTCAAAGTCTGATCTGCGATCTAATGACTTCAGCATTGTTGGAAGCTTACCAAGAGATTTTGAACTATCCAATTATGACTGCTATGGAAAACCCATTGAAGTCAACAACGGACTGGGAAAATCTCAAGCCAAGAACAACAAGAAGCCTCCTCCGGCCAAGCCCGTCATTCCCACAGCAGCAAAGCGAATCGATCTGTATGCGAGGGCCTTGTTTCCTTTCTGCTTCTTGTTCTTCAATGTTATCTATTGGTCCATATATTTATGATGGATACTGTCGTTTGTGTGAAATGAAAGCCCACTTCCTTGTGACCAGCTTCTGTCATAAATGCCAGTCTGTGAAAACACTTGCGTTTCCATAGCAATCTATTGCATTCTGGATGCCACTTGATTGTAATCAACATGTGGCATCTTAGTGGAATGGCAGCATGACCCTGTTCTGTTTGTTCTCCAATAGCAGTGCATCAACGCATAGCAAATATGTTGCTTCAGGAGTAAAAGGAGGATTAGCATTCTATGTCCTATAAATCCAAGCAGTCCTTGTCAATTAGTGTAAACCGCCATACTCTAAATAATCCCGGTAATGAGATGACGTGCACGCCCAATCCTGCTGTGGCCTCCATCCTAGTGTATGTAGTCCTTCAGATGTCTTTCCTCTTGTGATGTTACAAGACAGCTGTCTTCTTCTTATATAATGTTAGGAGTTAATGTCCCCAATTAAGCAAAGGTGTGTCACTTTTCATTTAAACTTTGTAAGTAGAAATATATCGGTTATCCTTATGAAGGCTCTGTGAAGAAATGAAGTTCAAAAAATTGTGACTTATTTATTTGAAAATTGGCTCATTTTAAAGTGTGCCTGTGTCGTAAAAATGCCAGATAATTTAAAAAAATAAGAATTTTTGGAACAAAGGGTAGTATTTCCCTGCATAAATGCACACTGAACTCTGGATTCTGATAATTAAAGATAAATAAAGGATAGGGACATTAGCTGTTTAGGAAAAGAGAAATTTATTTAATCCACAATAAAAACATAAATATATTTTCATGGATATCGTTTGTTGATACAAAGTAAACAAAGTATTGTGCCTTAAAGAGTCATATATATATTTCAAATTAAATTCAGTAATAGATATATGATTTGATCTCCTTTTTCACAAATCAAAAAGAAATATCTTGTTAATAGATGTCGTTTGAATTGGAAAAGGATCTGTTGGAAATCCCTTATTCTTAATTGTAATTTGACATGGCAAATAATCATGAAATGATATTAGCTTCTTCATTTTGTTAAAAAAAAACTTACCTACTTAAGTATCATTAAAAATGTTGCCTGAATTAATTGATTATTTTTTATTTATTTGAATATCTTTGGGTTATTTAGTAGCGAAGTAAATAATAAATGCTTTCACTTGCATTTTCCTTCTTCTTAAAAGATTAGTCAGTTGAGATTTTATCTTGCCCAAAACTGAAAACATTGAATTTCACTTTATGAGAACCCCATTTTCTAATTATATCAGATTCAAGGCACTCTTGTTTTAATTCCAAGCACAGCTGAAGTTAGAACTATCATCATGGTCTTGACATAAACATAAAGCCAAAGGAATATACCTACGTTATTCAAAGAGTTTTGTTATAGCTAAACGATTGTATGTGCAATTAAGTCATAAACTGTAACATTTTATGCAAATTTCCGTGCAATAGTTCAGTGCTATTCAGCCTGTTGAGGACTTTAATTTTTAAGATTCTTCCTAATCACAAACATTTTTAAATGGGTTCCAGTGGAGTCCTCTGTGGTTCTTCAGCTCCCTCTAGTTGCAAAAGCATGACCATGTGCCTGATTTTGAAATACTACCTGTGTAACCCTGTTGACAGACTTCAAATTCCATTAACTTTCTTGAAGTCAAATTTAAATCCTTGAAAATAGGTTTCTTACATTTCTTACATCATTTCGTTCTTTTTGAAAATTTCATCCAGATTAAGCAGTTTTATCTAGATATACATTTAATGGAAATCATACCATGCTGTAAACAAGTCTCATCATATAGAAGTTTTTCAGATAGCACAGGCTCAAGGTCGTTTCAATACCCAGTGCCACATGAAAACCACACCAGAATTAAGTACGATACTTGGCATCAAATGGAACATGAGGCAATTATTGAAACAAAGAAGTACAACTGATGTCAACTGATGCTTTATAATTCAATCCTTAAAATCCTTAACAGTGTATTCCGTCAACTTCAAAGTAATTCTGATCTATGTACTTTAAACTGTATGTGTCTAGGAAAATCTGTGGTGTCTCTACCTGGCAGAATTGCTAATACCTCAAATTCAGTTTCTTCAAAATAAAAACGATCATTTGCTCACAATTCAGCAGGGTTTCTTTTTCTGTTTCTCTAATGCCATCATTAATCCACTTACCCACATGAGATGTTCCTTTCTCACACGGTCTTCTTTGAAATACCAAGAACTGCAGAGTCTCACTCCCACACCTGCCGTCTACTCCCCATCTCAAATGATGCTATCTACATAAAACACTTCAGCACTTTACAATGTCAACCCAACAGCATTCTATGTAATTTTTAATTGGTTATGTGAATTTTATTTTTAGCTGCACACTGATTATGATGATGCGTTTAGGGCACACTTAAGGCATACAGATTTAAAGTAGTTGTAGACATCTCTATTCAACTATTTGTCATCTCCAGAGGTCCCTAATATTTCGTTCCTTTCCAGAGGTTATTACACAAATTTCCAAGCTGTATATGATTTTAAACATAAAAGTTAAATTAATATAATGGAATCGAGCACAAAATATATTCTATTTCATGTAGAGTGTTACAGTTTCTTTTGGTCTTTCATGTAATATGTTTGGGAGATTCTTTCTTGATGTTAGATATTCATATACCTAACACCTGTTCCCTGCTTTCTATTGTAATTTCTTAATGTAACTTCTTAATTTGAGTGGAAATTTAAGTTGCTGTTTTCCTAACACAAAGCTATATTTCAATAAATACCTTTGGGCACATTTGTGTGTATGAGAATACCTCAAAAATGCATACAAATATAAACTCGACATGACAGTGAGGCGGGTTTGCCTTAGCAGGAATTGCTTACCAATTATCTCATGAAACAGAGGTTTTATTGGTCAATCAATATTGTTTTCCGCTTCCCCTTTTGGTGGTGCGGTAAACAAGATACACGCACAAATGATTTTTGCTTTTGACAAGTTCGGTCTACCATATATGCCCAGGAGATTTGAGTGTTAAAGAGTTGCAAATGTAACAGGGGGAGAAATGGCATTTAATAGTAATAAGTAACTGACTCCTTGTGCTTGAGGACCACAGCCCCACACCCTACTGCTTTTGGCACTCCCCGCGCACGAACCTGACCGTGGTAGCAGCAGCAGCAGCAGGCTGCTCGCCTCAGTAACAAACCCCAGCTCTCGGCCTGGGACTGCCAGGAGCTGCAGACTTGACAACTACAAAGATGACCTTGAACTTATTAACTGAGAGAATATTATATGGAACCTAATAAATTCTGCCCTGAACTATTCTAAAGCTTCTTTCTACAACACAGCTGCACTTCTCCGCTTCATTCAGCAGCATGCTCAAAAGCTCTTTCATTCAAAAATCACTGGTTTCCAAACAGTACACAGACATCATTAGATGCTTTCACATTTTTAGGCGGATTAATTTAAAAGTCGAAATAAAGAGTATGTGTGCATAGAGTGTGTATACACTGCCTTTGCAAATAAACCGAAGATCGAAACAAAAACAAAAGCCATGATTATGTTTCAATAAGAAAGCAGGACAATGACCACAGACCTTGATACCCGAGTTCTTGTTCCGTGTCTATCACAATCCTCCAAACTTTGTCAAAGAATCCTCCTCTCTCCTCGTGTCTGAAAAGGAACAGACGCGAGTTAAGAACCATCAATGGCGACGTGCTAGTCTTTCCTTCATGGCAGCTGAAAGCAGGGAATTGGAAAGAATTAGCCCGTTTGATGAATCCTGGGCAATTATTTAACATCTATGTGCCTCAGTTTCCCCATGTCTAAAACATAAAGAACAGTCATAACCTCATCACTGAGACGATTTCTTTTTAATGTAAACATTCATTGGCAGGAGGCAGATGTTTGATGCAGTGGCTACGAATTGTTAGGTACTTCTGCATTCCATATTGGAGTGCCTGTATTTGAATCCCAGTTTTTTGTTTTCTTTTTAATTTTCAGCCTCTTGTTATATACACATCGGCAAAAGCTGACGGCTCAAGCTCACAGTCCCCTCACCTTCTACGACCTGGGTGAAGTTTTGGCTTCTGGCTGTGGGCTGACCCAGCCCTGGATATTTCAGTAACTTAGAGGTTGAGTCAACAGAATACAGATCTTCCCTCGTTGTCTCTGTCTCTTTCCTCTCACTCTCTCTCTCTCTTTGCCTTTCAAATAAGCAAAATTTTTAAACTTGTTTTAATAATTTAAGGGTCATACTCCACATATTTGTAGTAGCCTAGAAAAGAAAAATTCAAAAACTGAAAATGCTTGTGAATCTTCGGGGAGCAATATGCTAAATGTGCTGTAAATACAGAGGTCACTTTCATGTAATTTCATGCGTGTACAAAACGAATGAAAGATAATTAATACTCATTGCGACTATCCTGGACAGCTCTATGATTTTAAGTTTCATTCTTAAATAGACAGGGCTTATTAAATTATGTTCAGTAGGATCTTGGTGTCAATGAATCTAATTCTATTCACATCCTTGTAAGTTTGATAACGTAACTACTAAGTATTATCTTTATTCTTAATTAATCAAAATACCCAATTAACCCAATTCTGTAAAAAAGAAAAAAATCATGTCTTATATTCAGAACTCTTACCTAAGATGTATGAGGCTATAACTGATAAACTAATATTTCACTCTCATTAGGGCAATATTTTTCATGTTATAGACATAATATTTGTTCAGTAACTGAGACCATATGAAACACATCAGCAAAAATATTACAATGTTGGACAATAAATTAAACTTTTTAAGAGATACATTTATTTACTTACTTTAAAGAGTGACAGAAAGAGATAGAAAGATTGATCATCTCTTTTTTTTTTTTGCTCCCACCATTTTCCTTTATATTACTACAGCAATATAGTCAAGAATTATATACATATATATACACATATATTACAAACATACTGACTAGACAGAACTGTTCAAAAAGAAGTTGGTGGGAATCAAAGCTCTCACTTCTGCTATTTTCTTACTCAGAGGGATCAATAACTTACGGATCATTTGGATTTTAGAATGCCTAAAATATCTGCTGTTAGAGCTCTGGCATTTTTTTAAGCTCTCACTTACTGTGGTCAATTTTAACTGGGACAAAAGACGACTTCATTGTTTGAAAAGCACACTGTGTCTCATTCATGTGTCGTGTCTATTCCAGATACATGTTACACACAGAATAAGACTGCAGGATAATGGACTCACCTACAATTTCTCAGTCTGGATGTGGAACAAGGACTGATTTCTCTGCCCAAACTCCAAGGCCACAGTTCTTAGGATTCTCTATTGCTGCCCCACGTGCTGCCACCCCTCACAGTCCTAATGGCTCCCAAGTCCTTCCGTATTTCTCCATGTCCATCCCACATGCCACTCCCATGAAAAACCAGTAAAAACCAAAGCGAACAAATGCCCGTCTCTACCATTTAACAGAAATTTCCCAGCAGTTTAGGTCCTTTCAACTTTAGTGTTTCACATGCTTTACAACCACGCCCTCCCACGTCTGGCAGTTTAATCCAAAGCTCCTTGTATCTGACACTAAAGC